TTGTATTGATGAGCCTCAGTGGGGACTAGGAATGTCCCAGGTCATTAGAGGATGCACTTGAGAATTCGGGGGCCCCTCCCCTTTCCCCCATGATTCAACCTGAGCTGAGGCATTTCCGTGCAGCAGGGAAAAGAGGAAATGGCACGGCCCAAAGTTAATAGAAATGTGTATTTATGAAGCTTTGACAGTCACTTCTAACAGCAGGCTGCTCACCTCCTCGCTCACGTGTTTCCTATCATGGCGCCATGGGGTGTTCACAGGGTGAGACGTGGCTTTTCCACATACACATTCCCCGTTTAATTAGATTTTTCTTGGGGACGTAATAGTCCATTTCACATACGTGTCATCATTACTTGCTGTTTTAAAATTCTGTCAACAAATCCCCCAAGAAAACCAGCTTCATCAGCTGCCCCACCTGGTACCCAGCGCTCTCCTGGTTGGAGGCTGAGATCCAGATGAGGCTGCCAGGAAGGGTTCAGACCTGCCTGTTGCAAAAGGCAGTGGCAATCCTGTCCTTCACCTGGCGGGTAGTTACTGAGGGTCCACCAGAGGCTGGTGTCTGGAGCTGCAGGTGAAAACGCAGAACTTGTGATGCCTGGGCCCCAGGCAGACACTGGCCATGAGGGCAGCAGGCTTGAAAACTAATAAATATGGAGTCTCACCCTGATGTGCCCGGTGGGGCAGAGAAAAGAATCGGGGGCAGCAGAGGAGGTAGGGGGCAGAGTCCATCAGAGGCCTGGGCCCAGGGCCAGGGTTGGCCGGTCCACTCATCTTCCAGCCGCAGTTAGGTCTCAGACACGGTGGACGGGAGATTAGGGCCTGAGGACTGACATGTGACAGGTCTGGAGCTAGATACGACGTTGGATACACTTTGTGTTGGATACACTTTTCACAGCCGGCTCTGTCTACCACTTTCTTTTTCCCAGTGAAAAGTTACTTCTGTCTTGCAGCAAGCCTAGTGGTGTCTCTGGACACAAGGAGAAGGAGCAGCTCGGGCAGAGGTCAGATGTCCTCCCTTTCCCGTCTCTGGCCTTGCTCCGTCTGCTGGGCCTCAGCCCCTTCCCTACACATGCTCTCTCTCTCTGCACAAACCCACAGTCCCACTCAGGACACGCCCACGGAACAGGCAGCTGCCCACCGCACAGGTCTGACTGCAGCCGGGTCCCTGTCGTCAGAAAGGCCCTGTATCGATTGAAAACACAAACACCCAGCACTGGCCATGGCGGGGCAGAGCCTCTGTTTCCATCAGTCAAGCATCCTGGTCTTGTGGGTCCCTGCGTGTCACTGGGACGAGCTGGGAGGAGCACAGCTCTTCTGTGTTATCTGCGGGGCCCGTTGCACTGGAGACGATGGGAACAGTACGAGGAACAGAGAGAAAGTCCCACACTCAAGGACAGGCCAATTGGTACTTCTCTCCAAATGCGACCCCCTCCCCAAACATACCACGTGTTCCAGAATTGCACTGTGCTCGGGCTGGCCCTCTCCCCAGCTCCCTTCCCACCGAGGGCCCTTGCTCTTGGACACTCTTCCCCCACCCCTCCAGAGCCCCTGTGGAGCACCCAAGGGCCGAACCTCCCCTGCTGCCCAGACTGTGCTCCGAGGACCTGCCTGCCGCCCAGCCCCAGGCACAGCGGGGGTCCTCCTTCTCTGGGAGGAGTTGACTCGGGTCTGTCGCTCCTGGAAGGCAGGGCTGCCTGGACCCAATTGCACCCGGTTCCTTGGTGGAAGTCTTTGTGAAGGAGGGCCAGGAGACAAGGAATCCACGGCTGCTTGCACGCATTCGGGGTCTTATTTTCTTCGCACATGTCTGTAGTTTGTATTTTCCTACAGTGATGATGCATTATTAATATTTGTGGATATAATAAAGCTCTAATAAAAAAAAAGATGCAAAAGCCATGGGAACTCTGGAGACACCTAGCAGTGAGTCTGTGATAAGACAGTCAGTGAAAAAAATAAGCACAAGATGTGTATTTTCACAGCTGTAAGTTCTGCAGTCATAAGTGTTTCACAGTAAAAAGGCAATTTGTGTATTTTTGAAGCTGGCCCTCCCTCCAAAGCCCACAGAGGGGGGCTTGCCCCTGCTGGGGGGCTTCCGATCTGAGAGAGGGGAGACATGGCTAAACTCCAGTCCCCAGTGTGGGCAGGGATGCAGCACTGCCGTCCTATTCCAGGTTCTCCTTCCTGGAACCACGGTCAGGCCCAGTGGGCTGGGTTGGGAGGGCAGGGGAGAAGGAAGAGGTTGAAGACCCCCGCCCTTCAACTTCCTTACCCTGGAGCAGGGCTGCAGCCCATGGCCAGATGGATAGATGGCGCAAGGCACAGGAAGGGATGCTGCCAGGACCCAGTACCACACACACAAACATGCCACACACACAGGGACCTGAACACACTGAAACCCCACAGGACCTTGCAGGGCCCTCCGGGGTGCAAAAGCCTTCCTGTGTTCCCCAGTCCTCGGTCCTCGTTTGTAGAAAAAGCTTAGATTAGAGGAGTTACTAATTAGAGAAGCCAGGGAACCAGAAACAAAGGAGAAGCAGCCAGTCCACAGCAGCGGTGATAGCTCCAATAATGGTCAGTGATAAAGCAGGATCCTGGCTTCTCCTCCAGGGATGCGCACAACAGTCTGACCCAAATCTTTGTTCTGCAGAAACCAAGACCCCACCCAGGTGCAGGAGGGGGACCACATGCTGACCACAAGCATGCAGACCCCAGACTGGCTGGGACAGAAGGTTGATGATACTGACTCCTGATTGCCTCATCGCCAACCAATCAGAAGAAAGTCCATGAGCTGCAGCCCTCAACCCAAACGCTGCCTTCTCTGAAAGCCATCGGGTAGTTGGGGTCTTTTGAACATGAGCTGCCTGGTCTCCTTGCTTGGCATCTGCAATAATAATCACTGTAGGGGCTCCCCTGGTGGTTCATTTGTTAAGAATCTGCCTGCCAATGCAGAGGACACTGGTTCGATCTCTAGTCCGGGAAGATCCCACATGCCATGGAGCAACTAAGCCTGTGTGCCATAACTACTGAGCCCGTGCTCTAGAGCCCGCAAGCTGCAACTACTGAACCCATGTACTGCAACTACTGAGGCCAATGCGCCCTAGAGCCCACGTCCTCCACCACAATGAGAAACCTGCACTCTGAAACAAAGAGCAGCCCCCACTGGCAGCAACTAGAGAACATATAGCAACGAAGACCCAGCACAGCCAAAATAAATAAATAAATCTTAAAAAAAACCCCACAAAACAAAAAAACCACTGTACTTTCTTTCATCACAACACAGCATCAGTAGGTTGGCTTTGCTGTGATCAGGCGAGCAGACCCAAGCTCTATCCAGTAACAACACTGACAGACACACATGCACACAACAACACACAGTCACAGGAACTGCTCACACATAGACTCAGGCATCCCCTGCACACACACCTACTGACAGACACACATGCACATGGACCCCACCCAACCCCTCCATCCACATAGACAAGTTTTGCATTTCTATTCAATGCTGTTCTCTTTCATTTAAAAAAAAAATGTAGTCATAATGCTCTAAGTTGCTTTCTCTTCTCGCCGCTGTGGGTCATGAGCACCCTTTTCATGGGACCAGGAGAAGGACTCCAGGTTCAGAAGCAGATGATGACGGAGGGGTGAGCAGGTGGACAGGTGCAGCAAGACAGGACAGACGTGGCCTGGAGTGCCCAGCAGCACTCATCAGCCTTTGAAGACTGAAGCAGATGGGGGAGGGGGATGATGCCAAGGGACTGGAATCCCAGCAGGCCCTCTGCTAGGGCTGCAAGGCCAGCGGGAGGGTGGGGGTAAAGGAGGGAGGGAGCGAGGGGCTGCCGGCCATTGCAGGAGGCTCCAGGACAGCCTGCTGGCCAGGACCTGGGGAGGTGGTGGCCGAGAGTGGGTAGATACATACAGGAGGCTGTGGAGGGGGCCAGACCAGGGGCTTGGTTTCTAGGCTGATCTAGGCTGAGAGATGGAGAGGCTGGGGGTGCCGATGTTGCAGGGAATGCCCAGCAAGGCGTGGAGAGGCCCAGAGTCTGCACTGCAGGCATGGCTCAGGGCTCCAGGCAGGAGGTGAACCAGGATCAGGAGGTGGCCCGGAGAAGGAGGGGGCTGAATCCAGAGGGCTTAGCAGAGATACTAAGCCAAGGGCAATGGCCCTGGGACCTCCTGATTTTGATGGCATCGGGGACCCTATTTTTTGCAAACCGTGAGGGATCAGATTCAGGGAAATGTGAGTTTACTTTAAGAGGCTGATGTGAGGGGCTCTGGTTTCCTGGAGAGGCCTGTGGGTGGTCTGAGGACAGGACCCCTTTAGCAGCCGCCTGGTGGAGGGAGGGACTGAGGTCAGGCGGTCAGGTGGGGGTTGGGAGCACAGGCCTAAGGAAGAAGAAATGACCAGACAGAGCTCCCAGAGTGGTGGAGGCTGGGGGAGAGGGGGGTGAAGGGGCTGGGGTAGCCTGGAAGGCTAGGGTGGGGTGCAACGGGACTTCCAACTACTGCGGGGGGGGGGGGCGCCTCCCGGACCAGGTCCTGGGGGCTGGAGCTCCAGGGCAGAGGCCTCTTAGGGTGCAGGGCCCATCCCCTGGGAGGGTTCCAGAAGGTGTAACGTGGGGAGTGGGGCCTGGGGACGCGACCGTGCTGGGCCCCGAGGTCGTGAAGGCGGCGAGGCCAGGTGGGCTGCCACGACGCGGCCACTGTGCCCGAAAGGGTGGGCAGGAGAAGCCCAGCTGCCCTTTCCTCCAACCGCCGCCCCCTGGTGAGTAATGTCTTTGCTCATATAGCCCTCCTTTCCGCTGCCCCATCGGACTCAGGACCCGAGGACCAATCCCCTGGTTACAGTCACCTTCCCAGATAAACTCAGGGCTGTACACCCGCGGTTTGGAGCCCGAGACCCCGGGTGCCGTCGTGGGCAGCGGTAGGGGCAGGTGTTGCTGAGGCGGCGGGAGAAACACCACGGCTGCACAGGAGGGGTGCTAGGACCCGGGGACAGGCCGATGAGCCAGGTCGAGGGTCCGAAGCCCTCTCCCCTCCAGATCTACTCTCCGCCCCGGGCCCAGGGCCGCGTGCAGAGCTCGGCGCCCGGCCCTGCCCCCTGCCCGGGCCCGTCCCCACTTTCTTGCCTGCTCCGCCTCTTGCCCACCCTCCGCCCCGCCCCTGCCGCGGTCGGTCCTCGCGTCCCAGGCCCGTCGTCCCGCCCCCTGACCAGCCCCGCCCCCGCCCGCCCCGCCCCCGCCCCCCGCCACCGGCCTGGCCCCCGCGGCGGCCAGAGCTCCGCTGGCCGTGCGGGTGCACCGCGGCTGAGCTCGCAGCATCCCGCTGCACAGACGTCCGGCTCGCGGAGCATGGCGCCGAGGTGCGGGCCGCGCAGGGCCACGGACAGGCGGGTTCCGGGAAGTCTCACGGGCGGGGAACGGGGACGCGCGCTCTGTCCTAACCTGTGCCTTGTGCCCGCAGGTGGCCTTGGCTGCGGCCGCGGCGGCGTCGCCTCCTGGATTTGCTCGCCCACCTGGTCCTGCTGCTTGGAGTCAGAGCAGCGTCCGCCGAGCCGGGTAAGACCAGTGCCCGCACGAAAGTGCCTGCGCTGGGGACGCCCGCCTCCGGCCGCACTTTGTGCGGGTCTTCGGCCGGTCCCAGGCGTCTACGGCCTCAGCCCAGTCCGTCTCGGCTTCGGTCCTGGGAGGCTGTCCCGGTTCTGCCGACGCGTGCAGTTGGCCAGCGGGCGGCGACTGGAGGGGGCCCGGGTCGGGCCGGGGTCGTATGTCCGGAGTGTCCTCGACTGCGGGCTTCGGGCCACCTGGGCGTGCCCAGGACCGCGGAGAGGGTCGGGCTGGGGATGGTGCGGACGGTCCGCTTCCTGAGATCCTCGTATCGTGACCAAACTTCGGCGACTCTGCGGGGAAGTTGGTGCGCTCGGCGGACAGAGCTGCGGCAGAGGGCCCCGAGGGATCGGCCGAGGTCGTGGTAGCGGCCGTTACATGCGCGGTGGCTCGGAGACGCCCGGGCATCCGACGCCCGACCCAGGCCTGTGTAGCCGTCACCGGCCTAGTACCTCCCAGCGCCTGGGCGGCTGCAGCTGGTCGTACCTCTGGGACCCGGCGTTACAGCGCGGAGTCAGTCTGGTCCCCGGGGAGGACGGCGCGGTGCGGAGCGCAGCCGTGTGGTTTCCAACCTGTTGAGGCAGAAGTGCTCAGGTTTCCCCAGGGCCAGTCTTTGTGCGTCGCCCGGGTCCCGGGCCCCAGGCCTCTGTCCCCGCGCCCTCCGTGGTGTCGGATTGCGCGCGGTCCCTTTGATGCGGCCGAGCGCCGAGCAGCCGCCGCGAGAACAATGCGCGGAGGTCCGTTGTTTGGCGGCGTCCGCTCCCCGCTTCTCCCGCGTGGACCGCAGACGGTGCTCCGGTAGGCCGCTCCGGTCGCACGGAAACTCCCTTTACTACCAGTTTGGGGGACCCCGTTCCCACCCAGACGGCCGCCCAGGTCCTCGTCCCAACAGGCCCCCACAAAGTCCCAGGAGGAGCTCACGGTGGGGGGAGGAGGGCTGCCGGACCCGAGGGGAGCCCCCACCCCCAAACAGTCGGTGTATTTTCACAGGTAGACCCTTTGCCCTGACACCCGTCCTGGGCAGCCCGCTCCACGCGGCCAGAGTGACTGCTGACTGTGGTCACCACAGCGGCCACACACCTGCTGCCACAGCTGGCCGGGGAGGGGGCATGAGCTGGGGGGTCTCCTGGGAGACGGCCACGGTAATCTGCTTCGTTGTTTCCAGTCAGCTTGGTCACCGGGTTAAATAGCAACGCAGACCTTTAAAAAATGTAACCACCTCATAAAGAGACGTTTTTAAAGAGATGGTATGGAAAGCACCTGTTTGTAGAGGAGCAGGTAATTCCTCATGTATCTGTGTTAACCTGGGGGGTGGAGGGGGTGCTTTTAGGAAGTGTTTGTCCTTGCCGGGATCTGGGGTCCTCGGATTTCTTGGGGCCCTTATGACCTCCTGGAACTACTGCTGTGGCTTTCAGGTCCACCCCCTCAGGCTTGTGCAGGAATGTGTAACCACAAAGCCTTTTTTATAATCGTGCATCCTCTTGGGAAAGGAAGGACACTGAAGCATCCACACCTCAGCTTATGAAGTTTTGTGACCAAGGGGAGGAAATCAAGGGTGATGACTGGGCATTAGAGAAGGAAAAATAAAATGTTATGTCCACAAGCTTTGGTAAGGTGAGAACTCAGAGGGTGTTCAAGTTAACGCAGACTCTGGGAGTGGTGGGGGGAGCGTGACAGCTCAAGAAATGGTGTGTTTTATCTTCTGTCCCACCACGTGGCTGCTATGGGGCTTTGCATAGTCCCAGGCCCTCTGGGAGGAAGGAAGCCCCTTCCGAGGTGCCTGATGGAATGCAGCTCTTTCTGTTCCCTGGGGCTTAAAGCAGGAAGCAGGCTCAGCAGGCTGTGCATTGCCCACCCCTCCCCCTCATGGGGAAAACTCAGGTCCTGTCCGTGCTGGGCCAAATCCCTTTGGGATGGGGTAATAGGTGCCCCCTCTAGACACTGTTGGAGAAGAGCTAATGTATGTGAAATCCTGACTTAGCAGGGGCTCAATTTGTCCTGGAAATGCTTCAGAATTCCTCTTGGGAGTCAAAAACTTAAGCCCTGTTGGCTGATTTTAACATTTTTTTCTGACCTCAAATGATGCGCTTTCCCATGTCTGTCTCTGAGTTGCACTTGACCCCTCCCCCAAGTCTCTTGCTGTTTTGTTTGAGGCATTGCCATGTCACCCTGATGCTCTTGACTGGTGCCATGAGCTCCCGCATAACCAGAACCCACAGGGACACTTCGAGTGGCTTTACAGCCTGGAGGTCCAGAGCTGCCTGCGGTCCCACTCCTGGAGGAAGTATGGGGGTGGCACCTGTTACAGAGGCCCTCTGCCCGTGGGTCAGTTCTCTAGGGCTGAGGAAGAAGGACCTTGCCCAGTGGGCATTTGCAGGATGGCAGGGACTAGGCTAAGAGCATCACTTGAATCATCTTGTCTTTGGCCCCTCCCACATGTGATCTTGGGCTCAGGCTTTCAGCTCCCCCCACCCCACACCCCCAGACCTGTGTGTCCCACCCTTTCTCACCACTAGGACTTCCCAGCATCCATCAGTGGGTCCAGGTCTTAGCTGATAGCTGTGGTTCCCCTCCCCCACTTCCTGGGTGGTCCTGCAGGGTTTGGGCTTGAACAAGACACAGCCAAGACCCCGCGTGTCCCCACGTCTGCAGTGTCTTCATTCCGGGTCCACAGGACCTGAGTAAGGGACCTAAGCTGAGGAAGGAGCTCTCATCCAAGGCAGACTTGTTTCGAGGGGCCATGTCATTGGGGAGTCTTCAAGGTTCAGGTGCAGGACCTCTAAGATAGTCTTGAATTTCAGCAAAACTTGTTTTTCAAGCACTTCTGCTTTCCTTTAAAAGGAGGAGGAGGAGGGGGAAAGTCCTTGCACAGAAACCTAGAAGGAGAGAAACTGACTCCATTCAGAGCTTGAGGGGCTGGGTGAGCCTGCCCCGCCCAGCCTACTTCACCCTGAAAATACAGGTGCACACATGCTCAACAAATGTGCATACACATGTGCACACCCACACACATAAATGTTTCACATGCATATGCAAATATGCAAGCATATGTACACATAAATGCACCTGCAAATGTGCACACACAAATGTACACTTGCATACACAAATATACACACATGCACGCATATGTGCACACATGCACAACAAATGCGCACACTTGCATGCATGCACTCACATGTGCACACATGAATGTATATACGTGCACATATGTGTGTGTACACATGCACACATATGTACACACACAAATGTGTACACACATGCACACACTCATTTTCTCCCCACCAAAGTGCCTGGCTCTCTTCATCTGGGTTGTTGGAGATGTCCTGGGGCTCCGTGGGGGGCAGAGTGGGGCAAGACCAGTCTTCTGACGTGATGGCTAGCAAACCCTCTTGTGGTTTGAGCACTATTAGGAAGAACTGGTCAGCAGAGAGGGTGGCCCCCAGGCCCAGGGGCTGACTTCTTGCCAGTGCTCAGGGGTCGGGTGCAGTGGGTGAGGGGCAAGCTGGTCTTGCCACAGCTGTGGCTAATAAGCAGATCCCTGCTCCATGTCTGTCCTCAGTGGCCACCCATCACCCCATGGCACATGCCCATTTGCAGCCCTGGTCGAGGGAGGTGTGGCCACCCTGGTGCCTGTGAGGGCAGACCACAGATGGCACATTCTAGTCTCAGCTCTGCTCAGAAACTTGGAGGATCTGGGTTAGCTGTCATCTGAGAGAGAACCCCACAATGGCCCCTCTTTGCAGAACACAGCTGGCCAAGCACCAGCTGTCTGACGTCTGGGTAGAAGGTGACATTGCAGGATGTAACACACAGAACTGCCCAGAACTGAATGATATTGGTGGGAATAGGGGAGAGATTACTGGGAAAATTAAAATATATGTTTAACATGCTCATAAGATGATTGAATTTGATATATTTTGATGGCAATGTCTCCAGGACAAGGAGAACTTTGTGAGGGGTGGGGGTTGCTGCAGTGTGCCGGGGAGTTCCCACAGCTCTGCCCACCTGCCAGGTCATGTGGCTCCTCTGGGCATGCCTGCCTCCCAAATCTGATGGCAAAGGGCCTGGGAGGAGCCCTCCCCCAGGTACACCTCCTTCCTGAGGAGGGCTGGGCCTCTGAGCCCCACCCTGCCCTCCCACCACCTTGGGAGCAGGGGGAGGGGTGGTGGGCTTGGCCTCAGTTTCCTGCCCTAACCTGGGGCAGGTGCCCCAAGCAGCAGGTGGCCACGCCGTGAAGCTTCTCTCGGCACTGGTGTGTGACATGCCTCGCGTTTGCTGCTGCTTGTGGTATCTCCTAGCGGTCTTCCCCAGTGGCTCAGCGGTCAAGAATCCGCCTGCAATGCAGGAGACCCGGGTTTGATCCCTCGGTCAGGAAGATCCCCTGGAGGAGGGCATGGCGACCCACTCCAGTATTCTTGCCTGGAGAATCCCATGGACAGAGGCAGCCTGGCGGGCTACAGTCCATGGGGCTGCAAAGAGTCAGACATGACTGAAGCCACTGAGCACGTGGTATCTCCACCCTTGTCAGGGACCTTGTAGTGCCCACAGCATCGCTCAGGGATTCTCCAGGAGACACAGTGCCCCGCTGCTCCCCAGTACAGCCTGGTTCCAGCAGGGTGTGGATGGGTGATGCGCGCTGGCCCCCGGGGTCATGTTTTCCATTGGCGGTTCTGGGCTGCACTGAACGCCTGTCAGAAGGAGCTTTAGATCACAGATGCGCTGAGTCAGAGGAAATTTGGAGGCTGTGGGGCAGAGTCTGTGTTACGCCAGCCTGCCTGCAGGGCCCGTCCACTGCCCCAGCTCCTCCAGCAGAGGAGGCAAGCCTCAGCACGGCCTCCTGGCTGTCTTCAGCGAGCACCCAGGAAGGAGGACTTGTTTGCAGGCCGGTACATCTTTCTGGAATTCCACGCTTGTAGATGGGGACGCTCCAGGGCTAATCCACTGTGACGAGGCTGGTGGGATAGGGCAGGAGGACCCAGCACTGAGCTGGGGTGACAAGTGGGGCTCTCAGCCACCCCTGGTTTCTGGATGACCAGGTGGCTCTGCCATGAGTCTAGCTGGCCCAGGCACTGACTATGGTCAGAGTTGACCTTCACAGGGTGTTTTCTTACAGAGGCCATGAGGCCAGAACTGAGGGCTTAAGGATGGTTCCGCAGAGCGACAGGATGGAACTGTGTGACCGGAGCTAGCATCTAGGTGATGGGTCACTGTGGGGGACCTGGCTGGACACTGCAGAAACCTGCCCGTGCTCCTGATGGACGGGTTTCGGTGGTTTTCATGGAGCCCGGACCGAACACCTGCAGATATCACACCTTATATATTTATTTTATTCATCCAGTCATTGATTTAATTTTGGTGTCCAGTGCTCATTTTACTCTTTGCTCTTTTCCTTGAGCAGATTCAGATCGGGCAGTCAGGCCTGCTTGTTTTGAGTCTGAGCTCAAATCTCAGCGCCGGTACCAGGCTCAGGCAGCTGGGTCTGTTGTTTGCACAGAGCCTGCCAGCGCAGGCGGTTCTCGGTGAGCTGAGAGGCGCCTTCTGCTTTGAGACTTGAGCTGGCGAGAAAGCAGGGCCTGGAG